GTGGTCATTATCCATTATCTGCATGAAATAGTTCAGAGAAAGAAACTGCTGTTGCCAAAATGAAAAGATGTTTGAGTTCAAGCCAGACAAGAAGGAAACAAGATCACCTTATAGAACTGTGAGATCTCTGTACTAATGATGTTATTTCAAGTGAAATTGGAATATATGTATGAAAAAGTACAGATGGTGTATGGGTTTTAGGTGGATTAACAACATTGTTCTGGACAATGATTCACTGTCCCTTTTCTTGGCAAAAAATAAATTTTCCAGTCTTGGAAAGAAATGTGTATATATTTTAAGAAATGTTTCTGTATGTGGAAAAAGAGAGCAAATTTGATTGAAAATAGCATCCTCTGGTAGAAAAATTAACAGTAAAATTGCAGTATCATTTAAATATGTATATATGTTCAACCCCTACTGGTCCAAGTTTAGAGGTGATACATATAATGTGATACAAGTTACATGTTAGTGAGTGGGTGTAAGGGATTTAAATTCAACAGAATTAACTAAGTGTAAATCTGGCCCAGTGTTGGCTGTACTATAAGGGTCAAAGTTTCAAGATAGTTGTATGTGGGTTTTTGAGGCCACAACAATGCACGTTACTTTTTGCAGGTGCCCTAACAGTGCCCGTTTCTGTAATATTGGTCCTTTGTATGATGCTAGCATCTACCCTGAGAGTGGCTATATGACACTACATGTGGAATATATTTGTTGACCTTCAGAGTATAAGTTTGTAAACAGAGAAGGATAAACCTGTTTAGACAGACAGCCTTGCACAAATCTTCACCCAAAGGTCAAAGTAAACCCTAACCATTTTATTTTATTTGGAGAATCAAAAAGCGCATTTTTCTTTCTTTCCTCTTTCTCTCCCCACCCCTCATGCTTTTCATGGTTTTCACAAAGCCTCTGCACTTCCAGGGTCCAGCCAGAAGTGCAAGTGCCTAAATGAAACTAGACTGAGGGCTTGTCTAAATGGGAAAATTATTCCATTTAATCTATGCCAGTATAACTCCCCCATGTGGACACTCTGTTCTGGAATAAAAGTGCCTTTATTCTGGAATAATTACTCTGCTTCCAGAGAAATACAATAGGTCTAAAAAAACCCCAAAACAAACAAAACACAGTGCTATTTTCTATACCCCTTCTAGCCACGCTGCTTTAGTTACTATGAATCCAACTGTATAGGATTCAAATGGAGAAGAAAAATTAGAGTAATAAAAGTTTAGAAATTTCTCACAATTCCCTAAAACACTGTTTCTACCCATAACAATGTCATAATTTTTAAGATCCAACATTGTGGGATCTACCAGGACTAAAAGCAAATGCTACATTTCCACTTGGGAAGCCCAGAGTCACCTCCATCCATAATTATAACATTTCTGGTTTTACTCTGGGCTGCAAGATAGTGGATTTTAACCCTGCAAAGTAATTCAGGATTGCCCATTTTACACCTTTGATGTGACTAATTTAACTTTGGGGCTGGTTTAATTATGGTGGAGTAATTTCACAGCTGGGAAGGAAGAAGAAATGTTTATCTAACAGGCAGATAAAGGTCAGCTGGTTGAACTTCTCAGAAGTTTAGAATATTAGAATAAATCCACGGGAAAAAAGAATAGCGAGAAGACTGAAGGTGAAGCCAGCAACAGTCCCTGGTAAATACAGTTTATCACATGGTTCTGCAATTTACTACACGGATATCATCACTATGTGTGTGAGAGTAAAATAATTGTGTGTGAATGTGTTTAGTAGTGAAATCCACTTAAGTAAATATGGTAGAAAGTCTAAAGCATTGTGACTGTTGCTCCTGTTAAATAAGCATTTAAATGAATTAATCTGCTTTGTATCAGTTTATACAAAGCTTTACATATGGTGAAACCTTACTAAAATAATCACTGGTAGATGGATACATGCATTCATTATACACCCAGGCTGCCTGCATTCAAGAGGCCTTCACTACACAAAATGCCCACAGCAAATCATTTAAGCAAAGTGAATGGTTTTAAATGTCTGATATTAAGCTGTGTTTTTAAAGCTGCCCAGAATCCTTAACCATTATTAAAAATGGACTTGACTGATGCTTTTGTGAATTTTTGATGGTGCCTTCTCATAAGTTACTATATTGTTTTCATTAGATTGTCAGTGTATTATGCAGACAAACAAACAAAGGAAAAGGAAAAAAGCGGACTTCTGAGCACGTGTTATTCTTCTGTAAAGGTTATAGTAAACATGTCAATGCCTAATTAAGCAGCAAATTTTATCTGTATGGGGGGGAGGGGTAAGGTGCAACTGTCTGGTGGTTTTGCTTCTCCTAGTAAATCTATTTAGAAGGACAGAGAATATTGTGAAAGAAAGAGTACAGTACTTACCTTCCAAAGAAAAAATTCCCTTTTTCATGAAAAATGGGCTTAATGGTATTCAACTAGTTCATATAAAAACAGGGAATCAACTCAACTCCACCCTGGAACCGTGAACTCAGTGGCTAAGTGCTTTTCTTCTGATTCTTGCACTCACGTCCCTCTTTATTTTTGTTTTGCTCATTACAGTATGCATGGCACTGTGATGCATGTTGGCAGGAGTCCAATGTTGCTACCTAAACTATATGGTATCTCTGACACCAGAAGAACAATGTCAGCCCTGCTCATCAGTTCATGCTGTTTGATTAACAAGGTTACTATTCATAATATGTAGTAGCGCTCACCTTCCTGCACACACTCATAAGGGAGGTCATGGTGAACATCATCTAGTTACTAGAGCTAGGAGTTGGAATTCGAGTCCCAGATCTGCGTTTGACTTGCTGCCTGTCCCTGAACAAGTCAATTAACCTGCCTGTGCCTCAGTTTACCCATCTACAAATGGGGTCATAATATATTCTGATCCACACAGAGACATTGAGAGGCTTATTTGTTTAATGTTTGACAAGCATTTTGTAATCCTTAGTTGAAGGATTCACATGCACAGTATTATCATTATGATATTTAGTATTGTTGTTTTATCACATTATACATGGCACACATTCATTCATTCATAGTTACTGCTGTTAGCTTTACCGCCATTTGAGAAGCTCTCTGGTGTCACATCCCCATGCAACAATCAGCCAAAGAGAGCTAGAAGAATGATGTAATCAGTATTCTTCCTCGAATTCAGCGAATAATGTGCAACGCAGAATGTCTCCAATGAATTTAGCCTGTCTTTATATTCATGGAATATCCACAAGTAGATCATAGCTGCCTCTAACTTACTTGTAATTCAGGTTTATTCAGCAACCTGTTTTTTAATATTTTTCCTCTATGGGTTGATTGCAAACATTTCTTTGTTTACTGTAAGATATTCAGCGTGTGATTCTGAATCTCATCTGTGTTGTTCAACTTTGATTGGTAGAGCAGGTTGAAAAACTGAATTAAATTGAAATTTCTGAAAATTAGTTTACAGAAAGTTTTGTCTATATTTTTGTCAACATTTTGAATGTTTCCAAATTTTCTGACTAGCTCTATTGATTGATCAACGTGGTATCATTTATGCAGTAATGCCACTGTCATGGGTGAGGGCCCCCTAAAAGTCATGAGATTAGTTTAAAAGTCACGGGATTTTTAACATAAAATAAATATTGGCTTTTTTCATTTGCCTTTTGTTTTTTGAGCCTTTAAGAATCATGTTTGTCAAGCTTTTCTCAGCCATCATGAAGGCTAAATCTTTTTTTTTTAAATAGAGCTTTGATTATTACATAATCACATGATTCCTTCAGTTGGTCGCTAAGAGAAACACTAAATATCACAATGAAATCATTCCAGTTGGCAACATTGTTTGTGTTTCCCGATTGAATGAGCAGAGAAGTGTGTTATGCATGAAGGCTTGTGCCTGTGATTTTAAAAATTGGTTTCCATGAATGTTTGTATCAGTAAAAGTTGATTATTTGAATATCTACTTACAGGGCAAACAACAGGGGTCGGAGTACTGCCAAAGCAGATTAATTAAAAATTTAGGGTGGCTATTAATAGGAAAATGTTTGAAGTACTCCTTTCCTCTTAGATTCCCTTCCCATTGAAGTCCAAAGATGAAATCCTGGCATTGTTGAGTCAAGGGGAGTTTTGCGATTGACTTCAGTGGGGCCGGGGTTTCATCCTAAGCCTGATTCTCCTTTCCCATGTATCAATTTCATACCAGTTTAGTTCCATTTACTTCAGTGGAATTAGTCCTGATTTAGTGCCACCAGAAATTCCTTAATTAATTTTAAAATTTGTAGCTCTACCAATATCAAGTTTATCTTATTAATTAAAATAGTTCATTTGTCAAATAAAACCACTCTGGATTTGCTTTACTTTTTTTAGTTTTATAGTTAATATCAGTCTATCTCAGCCATATCCTTCCATAGCTTCTTAGGCTTCTGCCCTAGAATATTTCTTTTATCAAACTATAATTTGCATTGATGGAATACAGTGCATTTACAAACAGAGGTTTCAGTTGAACCTATTAATTGTTTCAAGTGTAGTAGTTTGGAATATCAATTATTTGCACACATTCGGAAATGCTTTTTTAAGGTGATCAAATGGTAAAAGATTTCTGTTCCTAGATAATTCTATGAACCAGGAATATTAGAGCAGTTATTTTTCTTCTATTCCTTGCCAATTCTCTCTTTTTCTCTCTCTCTCTTTTCTTTTCCTTGAGTCTAATAACAAAGTCATAAAAATGAGACTTTTAGTATGAACTTAAAGTTCTCACATATGAATTTTTCAACTGTCCCATTAGAGGACAGTTAGAATTATACTCCCATGACAGGAAAATTATTAACTCAGAATCTCTGGCAGTTATAAAGAATTACGATCATCCAAAAACCTCAGCAAGCTTTACAAAAAGACATCATTTGACTTTTTCACTTCCAGGACTAACAGACAATAAAGTTGTAGATTAAAATGAAGTCCAGTAGCAAAAGCACATAGTGAAACTAGAAAAATAAAACTGCAGTGTTATTAACATTTATTTCATATATTGATGTTACATTTCAGGTTACGTCCAAGAGGAAGATATAAAGGAGGAGGAAGAGGATGATGATGACAGTAATTCAACAGCTCAACTTCAGGGCAGCAATGATACTGGCACGGATGAAGAACATGAAGTGGGTCCTGAGCAGAAAGGAAGCTTTAGTTACCAGAATTCTCCAGTAAGTCATATATCTAATCAGGATGCGGAAAATGAGTCCCTGTTAAGTGACGCTAGTGACCAGGTGGCAGATACTAAAAGCATTTGCTCTAGAGAGGTGCAGGATCTGAAAACCAATACCCACCCCAAATCTCAGAATGAAGCACATGATTGCATGGATAAAATGACAGCAGTCTATGCTAACATACTGTCAGACTCTTATTGGACAGGCTTAGGACTGGGTCTCAAGTTGTCTAACTCTGAAAGACGGGGCTGTGACAATAGAAATGGAGGTAACAAAAGTGACTTTGATTGGCACCAAGATGCATTGTCAAAAAGCTTACAACAGAGTTTACCTTCCAGACCGGTCTCCAAACCAAATCTTTTCAGTTCAGTGCAGCTCTACAGACAAAGCAGCAAAATGTGCGGAACTGTATTCACGGGTGCTAGCAGGTTTAGGTGCAGGCAATGCAGTGCTGCCTATGACACCTTGGTAGAGCTAACAGTCCATATGAATGAAACCGGTCATTACCAAGATGACAACCGTAAAAAGGACAAGCACAGACCTACTAGCTATTCAAAGCCCCGGAAAAGGGCCTTTCAGGACATGGACAAGGAAGATGCACAAAAAGTTCTAAAGTGCATGTTCTGTGGTGACTCTTTTGATTCCCTTCAAGATCTGAGCGTTCATATGATAAAAACTAAACATTACCAAAAAGTGCCTTTGAAGGAGCCGGTACCTACCATTTCTTCAAAAATGGTCACTCCTGCAAAGAAACGTGTGTTTGATGTTAACAGACCTTGTTCCCCAGATTCCACAACAGGATCTTTTGCAGATACCTTTTCTCCTCAGAAGAATGCAAGCCTGCAGTTGTCATCTAACAACCGCTATGGCTACCAGAATGGAGCCAGCTACACATGGCAGTTTGAGGCCTGTAAATCCCAGATTTTGAAGTGTATGGAATGCGGAAGTTCACATGACACCTTGCAGCAACTCACCACTCATATGATGGTCACGGGTCATTTCTTGAAAGTCACAAGTTCAGCTTCAAAGAAAGGAAAACAACTAGTACTAGATCCCTTGGCTGTGGAGAAAATGCAATCGCTGTCTGAGGCACCAGCCAATGACACCCAGGTTTCAAAACAATCCAGCAATGCATCTTCGGATGGCATAACTGCATCAGAGCTAAAGAAAGAGGGTAAAAAAGATAAACCTGATGATACAAACAAAGATGAGAAAGTGGTAAAAACTGAAGAGTATGAAGATATGCTTCAGAAACCATTGGATCCTACAATTAAATACCAGTATCTTAGAGAGGAAGATTTAGAAGATGGTTCAAAAGGTGGTGGGGATATTTTAAAGTCTTTGGAAAACACCGTCACAACAGCCATCAATAAAGCTCAAAATGGAGCTCCTAGCTGGAGTGCATATCCTAGTATCCATGCAGCCTATCAGCTCTCAGAAGGAGCAAAGGCTTCCTTACCAGTGGGCTCCCAAGTACTGCAAATCAGGCCCACAATTACCAATAAGTTGAGACCCATTGCTCCAAAGTGGAAAGTTATGCCTCTGGTTCCCAACTCAGCAAATGTGGCCCAGTGCACTCGAGTGAAGAAGGAAATTGATGACAAAGAAGTCATACAAAAAGACTACACTAAAGAGGGCATCCGAGCTGAAGCTGCTCCACTCTGTCAGAATGAAAGGGAATCTCTCCCCAAATCTGAGGCCCCCGTAGAGCCAAAAAAGACAGAGGCATGTCCCTTGAAGGAGGAGGATAAACCAAAAGAAGATGGTGAGAAAGAAAAAACAAAACCCCAGGAGTCAATAGCAGCTTCCCTCAGCAATGGTTGTGTTGCCACAAATCATTCTTCTGACTTGCCTTGTGTGAATCCACTTAGTGCCCTGCAATCTGTATTGAATAATCACTTGGGCAAAGCCACTGAGCCTTTACGGCCCCAGTCCAATACCAGTCCCAGCTCGAGCACAATTTCTATGTTCCACAAACCTAACTTAAATATGCTGGAGAAACCAGTTTTATCTCCTGCTCCAACCCCACCAAAGCCTGCCAGCATCTCCAGGCGTTATTTGTTTGAAAACAATGATCAGCCTATCGATCTGACCAAATCCAAAAGCAAGAAAGCCGAGTCAGCTCAAGCACAGTCGTGTACTTCCCCACCTCAGAAACATGCTCTGTCTGACATTGCTGACATGGTCAAAGTTCTTCCCAAAGCTACTACACCAAAACCTGCCGTATCTTCTAGGATCCCATCGATGAAATTGGAAATGGATGTCCGACGTTTCGAGGATGTCTCAACAGAAGTCTCCACTCTGCATAAAAGGAAGGGCAGGCAATCAAACTGGAACCCTCAGCATCTCCTGATTTTGCAAGCTCAGTTTGCTTCCAGTCTTTTCCAAACATCAGAAGGTAAATATTTATTATCAGACCTAGGCCCTCAAGAACGCATGCAGATTTCTAAATTTACTGGACTGTCAATGACCACCATCAGCCATTGGTTAGCAAATGTCAAATACCAACTTAGGAAAACTGGAGGAACAAAGTTTTTGAAAAACATGGACAAAGGACACCCAATCTTTTATTGCAGTGACTGTGCATCTCAGTTTAGAACCCCATCTACTTATATTAGCCACTTAGAATCCCATCTAGGTTTCCAAATGAAAGACATGAACAGACTGGCTGTGGAACAGCAAACCAAGGTAGAACAAGAAATCTCCAGAGTTTCAGTTCAAAGATCACCTGAAACAATAGCTGGGGAAGAGGATACAGACTCTAAGTTCAAATGTAAGTTGTGCTGTCGGACATTTGCAAGCAAACATGCAGTAAAACTTCACCTAAGCAAAACACACAGCAAGTCACCAGAACACCATTCACAGTTTGTAGCAGAAGTGGATGAAGAATAACTTTTAAGGTATGCATGCATCAGCTTCACAGCGAGTTTTAATGTCATGATTGTAAGGAGATTTCTTAAAGCGTTTCTTAAAAGTAGAATACATTATAACATTGAAAATATGCTGCTGCATTGATCAGTTTAGATACCCAGGCCATTTTACATTGCATTGAAGAACAGAGCTTCATAAATGGATCTCTATCATGGCCTGAACTGAAAAGGTGCTTCTTTAAAATATTTTTAACAAAACTGTTTCCCCACTTTTCACATCTCATATTTTCCTGTTTCCAACTATTATTTTTAGTCCGCCTTCTATTCAGGTTAGTGTGGAGTAGAGCAAATAAATGACTACTCTTCAGTTTTCAATGTCGTTTCCACTAATGGAAGCCTGTTTTTCTGCATTTTCCCTCATAGTTCTAAGGAATTATTTATCCTTCTCCCCTCCATTACTAATGTAGCATCCAATATTTGGGGCGGGGGAGAAAAAGACAATATAATCGTGATTAGCAAAACCTCAATTATCCAAAACAGTCCATTATCCCAAAAGGCTTATGTCCCCCATAGTCTATGAATGACATTGAAAATGCTTTTGATTATCTAAAATCTTGGTTATTCCACACATAACATTTGGATGATCAGTGTTGTACTGCACTGGACTTTAATAGCTTCCCTTAACACTTATACCAGTGGTCTCCTTTGAGTTGTTTTGAGTAACCTTCCCTCCTTTTGCGTTCCTAGCCATTCTTTTCTTTGTTCTTGAATGCATCGAATTTACACTTTGTCTCATAGTATCAGTGCGGTCCCAGTGCTCAGTCAGTACTCCCTTCCCCTGTTTGACTTCAGTGAAAGTTTTTGGTGCAGATCAACGCCAAAATATGGGGCTGTTTTTTGCTTCTTAACTGAGAGATTCAGTGGCTTTTATCACAAGCTTAACTTTTCACAAAAAGACAGCTTTCTGGATACTGGTTTTACTGTTATTTTCTCTGTCGAAGAAGGTGTATAACTGTGAGTGCCGTCACAGCCAATGTTTACGATGTGTAAGATAGTATTTAGCTGCTGCATAATTTATAGCATTTTTAATTTTACTGAACTCCCAAACCTGACATTTCTTGATTTAAATTAATAGGAAGCACATCAGCTGCAAGTCCAAATAGATGTTTTCAATTCTGAAGGATCTGTAACCAAGAGGGCTTTGTGTGATTAATTTTCAACAAATAATTTCTTCAGTATATTTATCCCCCTCCCCCCCCCCCTTTTTTTTTTTTCTGGCAGAATATCCACAGGCAAGTTCAAATTTCCTCCAATGTATTCATTATTTGGATTTCCTTGACGAATATCTTTTGGAAATTTTTACATTATGGACTGATAATGAACATTCAAAATTCAAGCTGTGTGACTTGTGATTTGTCATGTAATTCACATGGTACCATGGCTGTTCTCTGACTAGTTGAGGGTGCATGTGCTCTGGGAATGGATCCACTTTTGTAAGAAGACTTAAAATTTGCTTGCTGCAAATGTTCAGACAACTTTAAGATTTCGCCAGACAAGGCCTATGCATCACTTCTGTCCCATTAAAGAAGCTATCATTTAAACCAGTAATCAAAGGATAATTTTGGGATACGTACTATGGGAAGCTATTACAGTACAGCACAACCATCACTACTCAAATGTAATGAGTCTTAAGTCTTGTATAGGTCTTGTGCTGGCTCTTGACACAAGGTAGATTTACTCTTTCTTAACATTTTATATAACAAAGCTCAGTCTTTTGAATGCAAAATGCAAAAGGGGTGTGAGCGCTGTCAAAGCGAGTTAATTATTTTAAAAATTGTACCTAATATTAATGGGGAATTTTTTGCATTGTTCACCCAACATTAGTACCCGGTGTAAAACAAAAGGACGAATAAATGTTCTTTGTTTATCTGATAATAACTGATTTTCCACCTTGTGGTTTTATAACAATTCAAAATTGAATGTACCTGCCAAAATATCACAAAATGAAAAGAGGTTGGGGAGGAGGAAGGAAGTGAACAGACTTTTTTCTCCACCTGTTAGCATCTATAAAGATTTTGACATTTGCAGTTTCTATACTAGAGCACTGTGGGCAAACCAGTAATTTGGGTACTATCAAACAAAAGCTATCTGCCAAATATATGAATATGGCAGTTATTTTTGGCATCTTCGTTGCTTAATACCTGACAAATGTTTCAGATTTGGGTCTTTAAAAACACTGTTATTGTTAAACACCCAACTTTCTATGCACCTTGCTGTTCTTCAGAGATTTGGGGAATGAGAAGCAGATAAACACATTTTCCAAAGATGCCCAGAAAAAAAAGTGGGTTCTGAGTAACAACACCCTAAACTGACAAATTTCTGGCATTACCCAGGTGATGTATGGATATAAACGAAGGCACTGTCCCTGTTGTCTTTGAGTACCCAAAAATTGTCACCCCCTTAATACTCAGATATTTCTAATTTATATCAGCATGCAGGCAGTACCTTCAAAGGCATATATTTAAAGTGCATTGACAGAGTGATAGCACTGTTATCTGGAACTATAATTTTAGTTGGTATGCATGATAGGACAAATTGTGTGAAATGACGGGCTATTTTGGAGGACATTGGATAGATTTTATTACAATTTCTGAGCTCTAAACTTGCCTAAGTTCTTCTGACTATGCTAAAAATGTTATTCCTGGAGTTTATTCATATGGCTTTGTTTCTTGATCTCTACAAGAAGACCAGGATACATTACAGTGATTTTCAAAGCTTCCTTATCTTAAAAATGGCTTGGTAAAAGTCCAATATATCTCCTAATTATGGAGCATACAATACTGCTTAAGGAATATGATAGCAGAAATTTATGTATTTAATCTATTCAGTAATTTTAAAGTGTAAAGTATTTAGAGAAAATAAATATAAAGCATATTGAAACACTTAAAATGCATAAATACATTAATTGGTTGACTAAATGTTGCATCAAAAGCAGAGATAAACAAAATATAAGTAACTAAAAATGCAAGTAAAACAGTGGAAAGAAATTCTCCAAACTACAGAAACATATAAAATATCACCCATATTGAAAATGAAAGTTACCATTTAAATTCTTATTTAGAAAATAGAGTAAATATCATTAAAAAATATAAACAAATGAATTGCCAGTTAGATCATTACTACCAGAAAAACATTCATACATTACGTCTGTGGTATTTTTTTAAAGACATCAGTGAGGCTGTTTCAGTGATTTGTGATAAATTCCTATTAAATGTAAATGCAGGTGTATATATCTGCTGTATATTCATCTCTGTTGTGGGATATTTTTTACCTCTCCAGACTGAAATAAGTCTGGTAATATAATGTGGCATTATTTTTAATTTAAGAAAATCTTATGTCAGCATCATCTTTTCATTTAAACAGCTGCAATTTTTTTGTTCTTCATTTGAAAGCCCATGTACATCAGGGAGTGTTGCTTCAAATTTGTACATGGATTTATAACTTTAAAATATATTTGCTCAATTCTTCAGCTAAATTAAAAATACTTTTTTTCTTCAGAAAGTGTGTGTGTGCATGTGTGTGTACACACATACATATCTCTAGCTTTATATTCAGACAGTGATAGTGGCTACAAACTAGTCAGAATTAGAGGATCTGTATGATCTTATTTCAAACTTTTTTTTTTAAAAAATAGTTATTATAGATTTAAATCTACCAGGCTGGTTGGGGGGGAGATTTCTTTTCCAAAGTCCCTGGTAAGTAAACATGCAGCTACCTAAAATGAACTAATTTGAAAGTAAGGTTGCTGCAAAACAAAAAATGAGTCATAATGATAAACAGTTTTTCTATTTCCTCCTTTGTCTTTTTTTTTAAAACCATCAAGTTTAAAGCTTCTACGGTGCTTTTTTTCTATTTTATAGCAGACAACTGACGTTCTGTGGTAAATGGAAGAAAGAGCAGAGCAGAACTGAAAATCCTCTAATGCACTGACACTAACTTGCCCTCTATTGTTGAAAATGAGCAGGCAATCATGATTGTTCATCAAATGGCTCCTAATGCAGTTAAAGCATTCAGCTATAATTTCTCCTTGCATTTATAATTACTGTCATAGACTGCACACCTCAGTGAGCAGATTAAAGCTATAAACTATTTAGCCGTAGCTTTAAGATGAGGAACTTGATTTGTCTGGCAGCAGTTATTTGTTAGAGAGCTTGACACGTCACATAAAAATGACTCCACTTGATGAAGAACAATGCAGTTTAAGCAATGCAGTGATTTTAAATCAGTCATTATACCACGCCCTGTAAGAATTGCAAAGCAATTTGTTAAATGATATATAGGACACAAAGATAACTGTATGTGTTAAGTATACCAAATACCAAAATAGAAGATTTTTTTTTCTTTTTGTGGATTTTATTTTCTCATTTCTCCTCTGAAATGGCAGGAGTTTCACTGCATGACATGTTCGGCCATTAGAGCTAATGTCAGTGTTACATGGGACAAGGGAGTTGCCCAAGTCAGGTGTCTGAGTTTGGGGTTTAGAGAGAATGTAGCCTTCTCTTCATCCTGCACACATCAATAACAAATGCCACGAAGGTGTAATAAGTGAATTGAAGAATAACGGGGCATAGTTTGCCATGTCATACCATCAGTTTGTAAGCAGAAGTCACCATCAAAACTAATCTTCCGAATAAAAAATAATTAGCCATAGATAGAGAAGGCACAACACAAATGAGGGGCCTGATCCTACTGCAGTTGTTAAACTGAGCAAACTTCCATTTACTTGAATGCAGGGTCAGACCCTGTGATAGGCCCTTATTGTGATCCTTCTAAAACCAATGCAAGTTTTGTTATTGACTTTGTGGGAGCAGGGTCAGACCCAATGTTTTTAAGATGTCTTAATGCAGATGTGTTTGACCGTTATGAACAAGAACCACGTTACTAATAAGATCAATTATTATTACTTAACATTTCTATTTGCACTAGTATCTAGAGACCAACCCATTCCGCCTCCATTGTGCTAGATGCAG